TAAACCGGGCGAGGGGGACAAGGCGCCACGACCGGTCCCAGTAACAACCCGCCGTGAAGGTGCACACACACACACACACACATTAGGAGAATTGGGTGAAAGCAACTGGTTTTAACATATCGTTTCATCGTTTCTATAAGCGCGTGTTGCAGCTGGAAAAAGGAGGCTTGGTGCCATTTATTGTTGCCGGATCCGATCGCCTTTCGTTAAGTGCTGGCGTTAGCTTTACACAAACCACGATATCTACGCTACCTAGTAGTTCATTGTACAGAAAGCGATTTACCGGATATCAAAAAGTACCGCACTAGTTTGCCTCCTGCTGTTTTCTGCTCAGATCATTGTAACTACAGTTAGAGGACATAAAGGGCGTGACTGACTGTGAATTACGTTTTTTCAGATGACAGCGATATTTTTCTCCACCACCCCTTAAAAACTCCAAACAACCCTTCCACGCATCATCCTTTCTGACGGTCTGATTTTGAGATGTCGACCTGATATGTACATAGTTTATTCTACACATATAAGTTGTTTCTCAAATTTCTAACGCAACACCATCAGCCTTTTGTCCACAATGCAAGACAGCGAGACGAGGAGGAAAATAAACAGAGAATCTCTCCTGCTTCAAACTGTCCTCAGCATGTTGGCCTTCAATAATCCACCGTTGGTCAATACATTAAAGCACAACTGTTGCATTTGGGTTATGGATGGAATGGTCACCTTATGTTTTAATTAAGACTCTATGCTGTTATACTTCAGCTTAATAAGGAAACTGTCATGCATGTAACAACAGTAAGTAAGTATCACTAATGCAACAAATGCTCCAGTTGTATTTATTTTGAGGTGAAGGTTTAGTTGGTCGCCTAGTTCTCAAAAATGATCTCCAACGGCAGCCTTTACTGTCGAGTTGTGCAAAGATGATCGTCTCCATTAGTCCCGCTCGTCCTTCATTCAGCAGCAGCACAGCTTCTCGTCTCTGGACATGTCCTGCTGTGTTCATAGTAAGAAACCCAGCAGCATCCTTTTTACTCAGGATCTCTCTGGACATCTTGACCGGTGATTCAGTGCAAACAGATAAATGATCTCATCCGTGTGGGATGTAAACTGATTCCATCATCTCCGTGTTCTGCTGCTGTTCTCTCTGAGGTAAGACCGTTCACTGAGAGTGGAAGTCTTAATGAGAACCTGGTGGTAAACGGTACGAGGTCACAGTTAAAGCAGGTTTCTAGTACGATGCAGTCTTCCTGTGATAATCAGCACACCCATTCCTCAACCATTTGTTTGTGGACTAACGTTTTACAGCCTTGAGTTCGGCAATTTTGCCGTCGCCATCTTGGATTACGGCCGTTGTCATGTTGTTTTTTTTGCAACCAGTGAACAGGAAGTGAGCATATCTGGACTGAGGAGGAGTGACGTAGAGACGTCGTACATGTCTCTGGTAGAGACCTGTCAATCACCGTGTAGAAGATGTCCAGTGTTTTGACACATAGATGTGTCTTTTCGTAAGATACCATACGTACTGTTGTGTGAGGATACGATGCCTTCAGCGACTTCACAGACATTTATTGAAATGAAAAGATCCCAGGTTGGAAAAGGACACAGTTGATGAAGCAGTAGTGACGTATATACATATAAAACAACGTTGCAGATATTTAGGAAAGAGAATTAACTGATGAAATTGATTTATTTTTTTCTTTAAAAAGAGATGCTTATCTTGAGTAAAGACTGAGAGGATTGACATATGTGGACTAAATCAAAAATGTGAATATTTAGAAAAGTGTGCCTTCTCAATGATGAACATAATTTGTTTCATAAGATCCATTTTTATGGAAACCAAACAATACTTTGAGTAAGATAAGAAATAGATTTTCTACAGAGAGATATTCTGATTACAGTTACAACAGAACGTGAGACGTCTGGCACGTTAGTGACATTTATTGTGCAAAATCAGCACAAAGTCTGTATCAGGTAGCCACAGGGACTGAAGCTCAGATCCAGAGGGGTGTGTGTGTGTGTGTGTGTGTGTGTGTGTGTGTGTGTGTTCGTCCTGTCGAGCTCTGAGAGGAAGTCTGAGGATGTTTTATTTGTACTGTACTCAAGAGAATCTGCCTGCAGGTAAAACATATGGAGGTGATTTAAGATAACAGACTTGTTGATGCGGTCACACAGACGTGTTTCTGACTCCACATCTTGTCTGAATAACGGCGGTCTGAGTGCACGAGTCTGTCTTTAACATCCTGACGCGTCTCTCTGAGCCTCCGGTGTTTGAGGGGAAACGTGGTCACATTCATATTCAGTATTTGTTTCTAAATGTAATGTTGAAATGAGCTGCTAAGCTTTATGCATTATGATTTCAACCGGTCCGTTCTCAGGAACGCCCGGTAGACAATTCTTAAATTTTGGTACAAACGTCCTCCTGGACTCAAGAATGAATTGATTCAAATTTGGTGGTCAAAGGTCACTGTGACCTCACAAAAAAACGTGTTTTAAAGCTGCATTCGCTCTAGTGTCCACCAGGGGGCGACTCCTCTGGTTGTATAGAAGTCTATGAGAAAATGACTCTACTTCTCTCTTGATTTATTACCTCAGTAAACATTGTAAACATGAGTTTATGGTCTCAATCTCTAGTTTCAAGTCTTCTTCAATACAGCATGATGTTCATTTAGTACATTATGGTCCATTTAGAGTCAAACAGACCATAAAGCAGGGATGCTTTAGGGGCAGGGCTACACAGTGATTGACAGGTCTACTGGAGACTTATACGGTGTCTCTACGTCACTCCTCAGTCCAAATATGGTCACTTCCTGTTCACTGGTTGCAAAAAGTCACGGCGGCAAAGCCCATATTCCAAAATGGCGACGGCCAAATCAACTATTCAATTTCTTGATTTATTATTTTTCACCATGAGCACCGACAGGAGGATGCTCGACCACATACTTTGTATGGATGAGCTTGTCATCTGCATGCAGCGTAATTATTATTTATTCATTTATGCAGTTGGAATTGGAATGAAATGTATTCTAAAGGGAGTGCTGGTGTGATTTTTCTAAAGTTATCCCTCTTTTTTCCACCACAAGGGGAAAAACTTTTATAGATTTGATATTGATCTGAAATATCTCAAGAACTGAATATTGGCTCAGTCGCAGTGTTTCCTGACTTATTAAACTGATGAATGTCATTCTGCGTAACGGATGCATTTATGACAGAGCTCTGAATCAGGTGTAATAATGCTACTGAGCAATGAAACCACAGACGCTACCATTCTACCACAGTGAAGGATTTGTCTGTGATTACTTTGTGGATAAAAATAAATATGATTTGATCTGATTTCCAATCAGGCTGTCACTTGAGTCTCGACAACTTGCTGCCAGGCTTTGCGGCCTATTATTTAATAACTTGTTATTTGATTATCTGGATCATCTTCTGATTGGTCTCAGCAGATGGAAACTTGCAGCCTGGAATATTTAGGATCGTCCGTCTGCTGCGCGCCCTCAAATTAAATCAGATCCCAGACCAGAGACCGTCAGCGTGATCACTTCAGCTGAAGTGTGAAGCTAAATTGAGACGCTCCGTCTTTAACCAGCGGGTTATTTTAAGGAACCGGTTCCTGACATAAACGCAGACGGACATTACGGGAAGAACGCACGTTATTTTTATCTGCTCCCACTTATTGAAGGTCCTCAAAACACTTGTGAGGTCTCCACGTCTAACCACACGGGGAAAGATCGTCCTCGTATGAGAAGCAATATTAGCTGCTGTCATTTCTGTGGTGTTGATTATTTGTAATTATGACGGCTATCATTTTTATTTACTTGGCCTGACGTGTGTGTGTGTGTGTGTGTGTGTGTGTGTGTGTGTGTGTGTGTGTGTGTATAAACAAAAATGTATCGGAAATTCCTACAAAATAGATTTGCCATTAGTGAAGCTAACGACTAATAAACAATATGTTATATTATAATTATATGAAATTAAAACCATAATCTAATTTAAAGTGACACACTAACACAACCTGAGCCAACACACATTCATTAACCGTCAACGTGTTTTCATTTAAATGAGCGGCATCAAGGCCGGCGAGCTGCAGTCTGAGCAGCATCGGCCTTCGTCCTCGTCTGCAGCCAGCAGACGGCTCATTAATTGTGTCACTCACTCGCCCCAAACATGAATCCTTGCTTCTTCCCTTCTCTCTTGCTCATGCAGCCACCCAAACTGACTCCTCTGTCACTTTTTCCACTCTTAATTGTCAATTAGGGAAGGTCATTTTCCAGCTGGGCTACGGACAGTGAGTGATTTTGTTTATTTTTTTTGCCGTGTCGGTAGAACTCACAGTGCAAACAGCCCACTCACTCCAACTGGAGAGAGTAACTACATGCATTACTGTTGAAATGAAATACAACTTGTCTATTTCTATGCATCAAATCACTCTTAAATGATGTTTTTTCTTTGCGTTATTAACCCTTCATTCTATTGTCTCGCATGCATCTGTCTGCAATTGTTCATGTTATTTATTTTAATTTCTTAGTTTTATCTTTTGTTTTCTCGAACTGCACTTTATCTGTCTACAAATATGTTTGATTCATTCAGTCATTGATTTTAAACCTTACAAGAACACGAATAACTGTTTTTCAGTGTTGCTAATTTAACGTAATGAATCCAGCATTTATTGCATCCATGTTCACCAGCGTGCAGTCGTCTTCTTCCTCCCGGTCTTTGCTGGCACATTGCTGGTACATTGCTGGCACATTGCTGGCACATTGCTGCATATCTTTTTGTGTTACTGCCATCTGTCTATGACAAGAATGTTCATTGCATCACCCTTGTGTGTGCGTCCTCATGCACGAGACAAAAATAAACCCACTCATTAAAAACCTGCTCCATAGTGCTGCTGCAGGTCAAAGGCTCCACACATTAAGACCCTTAATGTGTGTCAATGTTCATCCAACGACAAACACCATTTTATTTGAGCTTGTAGCTCATCCTCGACCAACGAAACCGCAGCTGACAAAACAATCTCAACTCAAGGTCCACTGACTCGATCTGGGACGTCTGATTCCGATCTACAGTTCTGAGGCAGATGAAGTGAGTTGAGACTGTTTTGTCTCTGACACCTGTGAGGGAGGTTCTTCCTCTCATTGATGTACTCTGACAATTTAGCTTCTGCCGTCTTTAAGATTGAAACTTCTACCTGTTTCGTTCTAGGAATAACGGTGCTAACCAGAACCATATAGGGTTCTAGAACCTTTTTAAAAATAAAGAGGCTTCTCGCTAGAAGCCAAAATAACGGGTCTTATCCATAGACTATATATAGAAGAAGTGAACGTAGTCACTCATTTGTTTGTGGACTGATGTTATGAAGCCTCAAGTTTGGCGATCTCGCTATCACCATCTTGGATTACAGCGGTTGCCATGTTGTTGTTTTTGTCCACTGTTCTACTCGGAGCTCTCAGTGGAGGTTTTAGTCCAGAACCTCTTCACCTCCAAAGGGTGTAAACAAGAACCCATCTAGGTGCTTCTACCAAGAACCCTGCATCCCTTTTACATGCCATCGATCTTTCCATCTTTCTCGGCCCTAACCGAGGTTTTAGTTTACCAGGTCACTAATTATGGTTCAAAATTGCAGTTTTGGGATTTATTTTGGCTGGAAGAATCTTTTAACACCCATGCTTTCAACAGTCTTTGAATAACTATTTTTTCCAGAAATGGTTCCTTGAATGAAAGGGTTCTCAATAGAACGTCTTGAAACCCCTTATTGTTAAGTGAATAACAGTAAGCCCTGTTGTGTTCTCCATTCTACACACAGTGGCGTCTTATTGGACGTGACTGGTTGCATTGCTGTCAGAAACATCCAGCTCTCCATCTTGCTTTCTTCTATCTTGGCTTCCTAGTTGCTCTGAGAAGCTCAGAATGTAATGTTTTTCATAGCATCTGGTTAAAGCAAATGGTTTATTCAGGGTGAGATTTATCTGATGGAAGCTTTCGTCACACATGATGTGTTCAAGGACCTTCGGATACATGGAAATCCAATGATTATGACAGTTTTTACAGCTTCTGGCTGTGATAAATGGAGTAGTTTTGGCAGTTATTTAAAGAAATTATGCTTTTCCATCCCGCCGGTGGGTTTTGGGGGATTAAGGAATGATGAACACTTTATTCTTGCAACCGTATGCAACAATCAGGAGATTTAATCCTTCTGAAGATTTACAATCATAGCACTAAAGCGACTCTCTGACGAACTGTAAATTAGTCCACATAATGTCTCAGCTCTTTATTGTGTCTGGCTGTCACTGGCTGTAGGTCTCCGTGTCCATGTATTCCTGTTTGCAGTAGTCAGTCATAACTCAGAGAGATTTACTGAGCTTGTCTCTGACTGCTATGAGCCGGGGAAGAGACAAACTTCATTGTCCACCTGCTGAGCTTTAACTGGCCTTGACCAAAATACACTGTTGTTACTGGGGATGGGACTTAACGACGTACTAGCATTATCTTTGTTTGCTTGTGGTAGTGCAGAATTGATTTTAATAACAACCTTCGTTTCCCTTTTTAAAAGTTTGATTTTGGGGAATTTATAGGCAGAAATGGAACATAACATTGTTTTCATTAGTGTATAATCGCATGAAACTAAGATTCCTTGTGTTTTCGTTAGCTTAGAAGAAACCCTTCACATCTAGATAGAGAGCAGTAGGCGGGGTCCGCCATGTTGCGCCGCCATGTTTCTACAGTAGCCCAGAACAGACAACCAAATACTGGCTCTAGGAGAGCCTTTTGGGTTTTTATGTTGCCTAAAGGCCACCGTGGTTCTCTTCAAGGTTGCAAAGCTTTTTAAGGAAAGGGCTATTGAGATTGGTGCAATCGGCAACCTCGCCACTAGATGCCACTAAATCCCACAAACTGGTCCTTTGATCTTTTAAACCCAGATTTTGGCCTTAGATATCCCCTTAAAGTGGAACTGAAGTTTAAGTTTAGGTTCTTCCGTATTTCAAAAGAGAATAAAACCTGTTTTGGTCCTATTTCCTTTGCCTATGATTGTTGATTCAAGATTACTTTTTCAGCAATCCCAATTAGCACTGGTTTGTACTTCCACTTTGGAAATACAGTAGATGTTTGTTACTCCAGCTCGCTAACATTAGCACTGATTCCCTCGTTGGGAAACTGGGACACATTTGGAATGTGAAATGGCCGATACGAAGGAGTTGTCTACCTAGCGTTAGCCGTTTCTCTGTTGTTGTTTTTCCAATTCAACTAAATGTTATTTGGATGGCCCAATATCACAAATCCAAAATTCACCTCAGAGGGCTTTACAATCTGTACAACATACATCTTCTGTCCTTGGACCCTCACATCAGATAAGGACCCCCCCCCCCAAAAATACCCTGAAAGTGACCAGATAAAATACATGGCAACAGGTAGTCCTGTCCTTTGACCGCACGTTACTCAGAGATTTAAATCACGACGCTGAGGGCATATGGAGTTGCTCTAGTCACAGATAAGACAAAGCAACGGCTCTCAACTCTGGCCCCCAGCTGTTTGTTGAAGTTGTTTAAAACGTTTGGCCCGTTTTTAAAATGAAATACCCAATTAATTGAGCTGTCTCCCAAGCATATTGTTATTCTGCAGTTGTGCAACTTGAGGAATTTAAAAATACTTTCCCCACCACTGTTAAGGCTTTTGGCATCTCTTGTGCTGTTATGAAATACTAGAGGATTAAAAACATGTATAATAGTGGAACCCAGGAATTTGTGGCTGGCACGTCTCGTCCATCCATAGCTTCTCTGAGTGCAGCCCAGCAGCGTGCTAACGGGCCAGAACAAGCTAATGAAATAACTTCATTAGGGGCCACATGAAGTGAGCAAAAGAAGCAGAACATGAGGCCCAGAGGGTGGTCCCCGCTTCTTTTTAACAGGGCTCTGAGGTTGTGGACGATGTTGCATAACACCATCTGCATGGTGTTACGGTACTGGGGTCTGCTAGTCCTGGAAAACTCGTACAGTATTTCTAGAGTTGTGGATATACTTCGTTACGGACTACTTTCAAATTGATAGTATCTCCTACAGCTTTACGCTCCAGACCTGAAAAATGCTTGAATACTTGAGCTACATTGAGATGATGTTTTGAGCTTTAAATAACCTCCTCATCCAGCCTGTGTGGCTGCGTTTCCACCCCTCAGATGGTAAATCTTGGCGTGAAAAAGGTCAGGTCAGAGTGAAAAGGGTCAACTTCTGCCTGCTACACAGAGCCTATTGAGTTTACTCATCACAAGACCGTAAACCCAGCAGTTATGTGGAAGACTTGGGGGAGGGGGGGATGGGCTCAGTTTGAGACTGCCAGGCAGGACTCCACTGCTGCACTTTCAAATCCCCGTGGGAATGCAATGGTGCATGAGATACCTTTGCAGGGTTCGGCTGGTCTGAAGCCTTGATCATTCGGCACTGGTGTGGTCAGCCATGATGACAAGGTCACAACACATTGACTGTTGTGTGGGATCTTAAAGTCAGGAGGTTGTCGTTGTACCTTGACGTGAGATACCCGGTGGTGACATTCGCTCATCCATGCAATATTGATGGAGGCCCGAACGCTTGGTGTTGTAGGGACTCCTCAGAGGGGCTAGTTGGTGAACTAGCTGGCCCGGCTAGCACAAGTCGATCACATTAGCTCCAAGAGTTTCTCTCCAATTTTTCTATCCACTGCAGGTTCAGCAAAGCTAATAAGTTATCATAGTTTCCTGCATTTTGAACTCTCCGGCTCTCTTTCCCTATCAAGGTCACCACTTTCCTAAAAGGGCTTGCTGTTGGTCACCGGTGCAAATTTGTGGGTTAAACGGTCCAGCCAAACCACTTGAAAGTGGTGATTCCATTGAAAATAATTGAGTTTGCCAGCATTATTTTAACATTTGAATATGCTGGTGTGACCGGGCCTCAAGAGGGAGATTGTTTCAGTCCATCCAAATCACAAATAATCTGAAAATCTGAAAGAAACAGGGATGTGGGACAACTTCTCAGGCAGGAACCAGTTAGTAACAAGGGTATTTTATTGTCATTGCACAACAGGGTTGCACAACAATATCTAGATCGCAGTCCCATTTTACTGCACAACAAATCACAAAAAATCATTTTTGGAGAATGGAGGCCGAGTTGAGGAGTCTCACAGCCAGAGGAAAGGAGCTGTTTTGAAGTCTGGTGGTTCATCAGCTGATAATTCTGTATCTCTTTCCAGACGGCAGAGTGAACAGGTTGTGTCTGGGTGGGTTTTAGCTTTTAATATCCCTTTATCTCTTCGCAGGCACCTCTTGTCACCAATATAACCGATGCTCAGTAGATGGGTACCAATGATTCTCTGGGCGGTTTTAATCACCTGCTGTACATGTCAGGTTGTTTGTAATGCTAATTCCCAGGATCTTAAAACTTGCTCCACCTCAGCTCCATGGGTGTGTGTCTTTACCTCCATTTTTTTTTTTTCTAAAAATCAACAATCGGTACAATGTCAACTGTGCTAACTTGAAACCACTGTTGTGTGTTGGTACATTTCAGGTGGCTGGATGTGGGCGTGGCCAACCTGACATGCACTTCGTACTGGGTGATGTACCTGCAGGTCATCCAAGAGTCTGTGTGGCCAGGAGGAGCTCTGCCGACAGCACCTCAACTGGAACGCAGCCGGCAGCAGAAGGACGGTACCCGGCAACAAGCCTTGCACTGTCTGATGAGACTCCTACCAGGTACGTGCACAAACACGCAGACAATATATATTGTTATAGGATTTTGTTCTGTCTAATATCAGTATCGGCCTCAAAACTTGGGCCCTAGTTTCATAGACTTTTAGAAGAAGTGGGCGTAGTCATTGTGATGTCACCCTTTGGTTTGTGTGCGACTGATGTTTTGAAGCCTTGAATTCGGTATTTTAGACGGCGCCATCTTGTTGTTTAACCAGACGTGGCACGAGAGGGTGGAGTGAAGTGCAATTTAACCCAGAATAAGACATGTTTAGGCGACCAAAACGGCTATAATGAAGTTCTGCGAACTCCCAGACCGGACAATGCCGTGGTAGAGACCTGTCAATCTCAGTAAGCCCCGCCCTAAAGCATCCCCTGCTTTATGGTCTGTTTGACTCTAAATGGACCATAATGTACTAAATGAACATCATGCTGTATTGAAGAAGACTTGAAACTAGAGATTCAGACCATAAACTCATGTTTACAATGTTTACTGAGGTAATAAATCAAGAGAGAAGTAGAGTCATTTTCTCATAGACTTCTATACAACCAGAGGAGTCGCCCCCTGGTGGACACTAGAGAGAATGCAGCTTTAAGACACGTTTTTTTGTGAGGTCACAGTGACCTTTGACCACCAAATTTGAATCAATTCATTATTGAGTCCAGGAGGACGTTTGTACCAAAATTTATGAAATGTCTACCGGGCGTTCCTGAGAACGGTCATTTTCTCATAGACTTCTATACTACTAGAGGAGTCGGCCCCTGGTGGTGAGTAGAGAGAATGCAGGTTTAACACATGAAGCATTGGCTTCACTTTTCAGAACCGGAGGTTGCCGCCTGCCTTGTGTAAATATTTCTAGCAATAAAATGAATGCCTCAAGTTATGACAGAGGGGTAGGAAAACACGACAAACAGCTGGTTACACATTGTTTAATTCTCTGTGTCTCCAGATCTGATCTCAGACCTGTTGGGCTCAGACAAGTACAAACTCTGTTGGCAGACTGCACTGGACTCTCTTCAAGACCCCTCCATTAACAGGTGAACACACACACACACTATACACTCGATGATGAAGATTCTCCAAACTATTAACAAATATAGTTAAAAGAAAAAGGAAGGAGACTTAAGGTGTGAAGCATGATGGGATCTACAGTTTCTACAGTCTGTCGGTTGGTTTACAACTTTGGTCCAGACTGAAATATATCTAATTGACTTGAACTTTGGACATCCTCTGAACTCCCATTGAGCGTCATAGTCAGGTGAACATTATAGTCTGTTCATTACTTTGGTTTATGGCCAAATATCTGCAAAACTAATGTAGTAGGAAGTGCATACATTGCAGTCCCGTTTGTCCCTTAGTGGCTTATTATTTGGTTCACAAATTCATGTTTCTCTCAAACTGACCATCAGGTCAGAATTTAATTGCAGAGTCATGTGATGATTTCCACTCTTTAGTGTTCCAGTTTGTTGATACTGCAGCCTCATTCTGTTGTTCATCTGGCACAGTCTTTGTATGCAGTAATTCAGTTGGAGAGTTACTTCCTCTGCTGTTGAACAAGCGTGTCCGTTCTGACCCGGCCTCTCTTCTCCACTGTGTTTTTCTTTTTTACAAAAAACACTGAAATCTACATATCCAACATGTTTCCAAGGTGCCAAAAGTGTTAACAATGTTGGAATATTTTAATTGAGTCTTTACCTGCTATAAAGTAAACTATTCACATTGTAACATCCTCTACTTCAGCCTCTCCTCTCTCCTCTCTCCTCTCTCCCCTCTCCTCTCTCCTCTCTCCTCTCTCCCCTCTCCTCTCTCCTCCCCTCTCTCCTCTCTCCTCTCTCCTCTCTCCCCTCTCTCCTCTCTCCTCTCCTCTCTCCTCTCTCCTCTCTCCTCCCCTCTCTCCTCTCTCCCCTCTCCCCTCTCCTCTCCTCTCTCCCCTCTCCTCTCCTCTCTCCCCTCTCCTCTCTCCTCTCCCCTCTCCTCTCTCCTCTCTCCTCTCTCTCTGTGTTCACTTCCTGTAGTTCAGTCAGAGTGTCTCCTCCTTGTTGTCACATGACTGTTGGTCTCAGATGAATTAATCATGACTTCATAGTTTCACTGAGGAGCTCACAGCTTAATGTTTTTACACAATCTGGTTAAAGTGAACGTTTTATTAGAGGAGAGATTTATAATGACAACATGTAGAATAAAATGTTGTTGATGAAATATCACAATGTTAAGCTTCAGTTTGGCTGCTTATTCTGACGGAAGTGTTCATCACACATGATGTGTTCAAGAACCGACGATAATGGCATTTTCTATAGCTTCTGGCCGTGATAAACGGAGTAGTTTTGGTGAATGTTTCAAGAAAACATGCTTTTCAATCCCGCCGGCGGGTCTTGGGGTTCAGAGGCTCAAAGGTTTCTGCTGGAAACGGTACAACCAGCAACAATAATGACGCCACGCCGTTCACTCAGCTCACAGCTCGTTGTCCACTCGGATGCTGAAACACTACCTGGTGATCCTCTTGGATCTGACCGGCACGCTTTGTATACTTGCCACATGGTCTGCTGTTTGGACGTGCTGGCTTTGTTAACAAGCAGATGTGTCTAATGAAGTGGCCGGAGAGTGGACGTGCTCACTCGGAGAGAAGCTCACCTGGAAATCGTAAATCTTGAACACATTTCATCACTAAACAGACAGTTGAGTAAACAGCTGGAGAGCTATGAAAAGGTTTCACAGATGTAGAAACAAACAGAGTCCCAGACAGACATCAGGATCCACTGAACCAACCCAAACAATTCTAAACCTTTCACTTTTCTCCACATTAACTTTTGTTAGAGAATTTACATTTTGGATTTGATTAAAAGTTTACAGAATTTTGCCAGACGAGAAGTTGTTTCTAATTCGTTGTCAGTGGGTCTCAGTTCTCCTGAACCTGATTACTTTATCTTTGCTTGACATTGACTGTGAATATGAGCCTTAAAGAATGATGTCCAGTGAGTTAGAGTTTAATAGTTCAGTTGTGCGGCGTGTGGAAGAGGAAGTCCTGTCCTGGATATCCAAAGCACACCAGCTGTGTTCTCATGTCCTCACCCGGCCTCATTCACCTGAAGTCACGAGTAGAGGTGCAACTAAATAAAGAAAGGAGCAAGTATAACTTTTAGAGATCCGCAGATCACTCTTCTTCTCCACCGATCATTGATCCATATTATCAGATACAGATCCTTTTGTTGTTTGATTACAGCAGCTGGTCTACAAGGATCCAGAATATTTATTATTTTGCCGCCGTCACAAAAAACATTTCTTTTTTTTTCTGAAGTCAGTAAACCATCAAAAGCTTGAAATGTTATACTTTTACTTTGTTTTAGTAATTTATAATGTTGTTTTTCTTCATAAAACACACAATTCAAATGATTAGGAAATAAAAGATTATATTTTTATTGTCATTATTTTAATGAAGTATAACGATGTTCTTAGAGCTCGTGTTATGAAGTTAAACAGCTCATAATTCATCTCTAATATCTGTTTTATATTCATGTGAAAACATCTCCTTCAATCTACTGGATTTATTCTAGTTTATCACAAAAACCACATTTTACAGATGACATGTGAACACATCATGATAACGTTATAATGTACCTTCAGCTAGTACTCATGTTCACTGAGCAGAGCCTGAAGGCATCATAATGTAACCTCCATTGGTTAGCCGTTACCGGTGCTGCTAACGTTACTAGCTCTCCTCCTGTTGGTTAGCCGTCAGCGGTGCTGCTAACGTTACTAGCTCTCCTCCTGTTGGTTAGCCGTTAGCGGTGCTGCTAA